GTGTGTTTTTCCCTTCTGGCAATCAGCACTATAACATTGTTCCAGCTTGCGGCTGACTTGTCGCGTCAACATGGCGCCGCCGATACAGGGGTAGATGAAATTGGAGGTCGAATTTATGGGGAAAGATTTTATCTTGCGGCTGTCCTTGGTACATCCTTGTCTCGGCAGGAACTCGAAAATGCTAATACATCTAACATTTAGTTTATATGTGTAATTCAATATGGAATTTATAGGTACTCCATTTTATATCCATGGGGGTCCAGCAATTCGTTCCAGCACCAGCTTCTTTTGATTCGGTAGCCTTTGACCAAGATCTTTAGGTATGTGGCTGATTAACATTGTTGCAGTTGAGATGTAATGAATTATTTAATTGGCTCACTGTTTCAAAGCGGTCCACTAAGGCATATGGATGACTGTAACAGCTTGTATCTCATTTAAACGGGAAGAATATGTTTCATTCTGACCCTAAAACGTGTCAGATTCTTTGAAGACAGTCGTGAAATTTATTTCACTGCGTTCATAAGCTTTGACACGTAATTTTAAGAGTAATGAATCTCTAGTTTACTGTCTTCTTCTAATTCTGCTTCTGTCACGAATTACGCTGCCAGCTCTGTTTCTATTCAGAATTAATTCTGAAGCTTGATTGGGTTCGTCGCAAATCCTGTTGCAACGACTTGACATCGACAGAAAAATGCGAATATATAAACGATGCCCCGAATAGAATTCGAACTCGCGATTCCAGGATCAGAGAGTCACAAGTCTCAATGTGTCTTAGGTCATGCGTCAACTTTGTCAGCACCGTTAAGTCTTTAATGTTTAGGGCAGTCTTTCTGGGGGTTCCTGGGTTCGGAACTTGCAAGATGTGTGTGTTTTAAAACAATAGACTGACTGAGGTTCAGTCAATTGTTCTTTAGACGATTGAATTGACCCTAACATATTCTTGGCTCATAACGTCAAGTCTCATGTGTTTAAATGGGAAGGTTCAGCTTTGTGAAGGGTAGGATGTCGAGAAAATACCAGGACGTCATGTTCAATATTTTGGTGTTCGATCATGGCGGTTTCTACATGTTCTGGAATGCAATAGTGGAGCTGTCTTGTTACTCTGGCCACAGGAATGACAGGAATCTCTGGAAACAAGCAGTAGCAGGATGTTGTGTTATCGTGTTCCCATCCATGCTCAGCTGCGGTCAGCTCTCTGGTACAGGGATGAACAAATTTCATAGTTTACTTACCCTCCTAACCAATTCCACGAATCAAAATCGTTTAGAAACTGACATTCTCTCACGTGTTCAAAACTTCACCGTTTTTCATGGTTGATAAATCCAGCCTGTCCTCAGTTTTTGAAAGATACATTTTAATATTATCCTCCCATTTATGCCCGTGTCGCCTAAGTGGGTTTTCAGACTAAAATATTGTCTGCATGTCTCCCATACACACTATTTGTCCCTTCTGTCTCATCGTCTTTGATTTGATTACACTGATGATATTCGGTTCAAGAGTACGAGTTATGAAGGTCGTCATAATTTACTTTTTTCTAGCCTTCTGTTACTTCCTCCTGCCCAAATATTATCTTCAGCTCCCTGTTTATAAATACCCTTAGTCTGTGTGAATATTCTTCCCGTAACGTGAAGAAATATGTTTCGTACAAGACAATAGCAAACTTAGGGTTTGGGTATTTTCTCCTGCGTGTTTTTAGATGGATGATAGGAAGAAGAAATATTCTGAATCAGTCACGTCGTTTTTCATGAAAAATAAAGAAGGAAGTAAGACAAAAAGTATGGAATAAAGAATCAGAAAACGAAAAAAAAAGTATTTAATTCATGTTCAAAATTTTTGTTATTTCGGGATAAGTAGGCGATCATTTATATCGTATTTTCTCAATGTAAAAAACACTGCATTTGAAGAAAACGTTTGTGTTATGTTCAGGTACAGAATTTTAATGTTACTTCAGTCTTGTTCCTACTCCTGCAACTCTGCAATCAACTTACTGACTTTCGCCTATGAGGCCATGTGTAGGCAACACACCGACCTGGAAAGCATGACTGTAGGCAACGAAGAGATTTATACAAGCAAAAATCGGATGTAACATCCTATTTGCAGATGCAGATATATTACAAAGAATTGTGTATTTAAAATGAGAAACCGGAAACAGTAATCTGTCGTTTCTGACAAAGGATTTGCGAAATTCTCAACGCCACTTATCTACGCGTACTTAGTCTACTTAACAGATTCTCTTATTGTCTTTGATTTGCGGTGAGAACAGACATATCGGGTGAACATTTTTTATGATAGCATCCACTGCTAGTAGTCAATCAGAATTTAGCGTCCTATCGCTGCCGCCCAGAATATATGTCCACTTCATAGTCGTCGTGAAGAACGTAGTCTAGAGCAGTGGTAGCAACCTGGGGTACGCGTACCCCCGGGGGGAAGTGAAATTTAAAAAAATATATATTATTTTATGATAAACACTGAATAATCAGTAATGTAATTTATTTAATTTATTATAGATGTAGATTATATACTATGTATAACTTGAATTATACACCAACAACTTTGGGGGTACGAAGTTGAAGAGAAATTATATCTGGGGGTACGCGAACAAAAAAAGGTTGAATACCACTGGTCTAGAGGATATTTTACTGTCTATAAATTACGGCATGTGATGACAATTTTATACTGCGTGAACTAGTGGGTAGAACAGCCGTATTTTATGGTTCCTTTAGAGGGGGGGGGGGCAGAAAGGCAAGAAAAGTGTAATACTAGAAGCAGTTTTATCGTCCAAATACTAGTTAAGATGTTCCTCCCTTCTGCATCCCTCTGCCATTCAATTTGCTTAGGGCGGGCGGCTCTTTCATTTTCTGTCTGCCACCAAGCATCAACTCGGCGAGCTACCCTACGCATTTAAAAGAGTTGTAAGTCACATGAAGCCCGAGAAAGTTTTCTTGGCAGATGCAATAGACGGTCGTTGTAACGCACCGAACCGGTTACCATTTTGTTATTCTTATTAGCTAACTTGGCCGATACGAGTGTGTGTGTTCTTTGCAAGAAAGTGCATTAAGCGAAGTATAAAGGGATTTTCATTCGTCCGAATGTGTCATCCGTGAAACTACTGAATGTATTTGGGTTAATTTTGGTAGAGATTTACACAAAAAGTGACTGGGAGAATTTGATTCATCAAATTAAACGTTAGATATCATTTTAATAAAAAGACTAGTTGTTAAAAGAATTGGTAGACGACGTAAAACATAGATCTAAATAAGATTTCAAACTTTCATTTCAAAAATTTCTTGTTAAAATCGAAGTCTGT